AAGTTAGGCATGTAAGAGATTAACAACAATAACTAATAAAATAGAACAGTTATGACAATATACTATCGTAAATCAATGTGACTCTGGTGCCTGCCCCTCTCTCTTTCTGCCCCCCCCCCACAATTGATCTGATAATAGGTGTGGCTGTTGAATGACTGATGGGAGGGGGTCATAGACAGCATGGACACATTGGGCAAAGGGATGATTCACATCCCAGGTGGCATGGAGAAGAGGGGCATGAGATTTCATCACACTACTCGGAATGGCCCACCATTTAAAACTTATAAATTGTTTCTTTTTAGAATTTCCCATTTAATAATTTTGAACCCTGCTTTACCCACATGGAAACGAAACCACAGATAGGAGGGAACTACTGTATAGAATAAAGAAGGATTAGGGAAACACCCAATTCTGGTTGTGTTGAATTGAGGTTGGAAGGTCCAGTGGGCATTTGACTATGCAGAGTCTCTAGGTTGGACATTTTAAACCCGTGAACTATAAGGCATAGTTGTAAGTGTAGGAGTGAGTGAGATTTTCCATTGAGAGTTAGAGCAGAAGTCTTGGGAATGAAATAGGAACACCAGCGTATCAGGAGCTGACTGAGGAAGACAGGTTAGTGCTAGGGAACTAGCACGGTCCAGAGTTAGGAGGAGAGCCATAAGAGGTGATGTGAGCAGAGTCACTGTAGTGCAATGTCAGAGAAAGAAATTATCACTCTCCAGTGCTCTAAAGAGATCAAGTACCCTGAGGACTGAGGGTCCAATGGATTCACAGTGAGGTCGGCAATGGCCTTTGCCTCCTTGTAAGATATTTATGGGGTTAAGAATTGGAATTTCGATTTCATTGGGTCAAAGAAAAAATGCAAAGTGAGAAAATAAAAAAAAATGTAGCAGCACATCCTTATGAACTATCAAATTAGTAGAAATATATCATTGTGGTTGGAGAGGAGGGGTTTGACCTAAGACTGAAACAGACCTTAGAGATACTCACATAGCAGCTGCATAGTTTGATACAAGAGGAATCCAGGATCCAGAAAGGTGTAGTAATTTGCTCTATAGCAAAGCCAGTAAGTCTAGGTCTTTTGATTCCAGATCTACCAGCATATAGGGGAAAATTATTAATCCAAAAAGGAGGGAAAATTCTTTTCAATGTTTTCAAACATTAATCTCACTCTTTTAACATTTGAATTTAATCTTGGGTAGACGAGGGAGGAAGTTACGATTGTCCTGGAGAATACCTGCGCACCCCTACTGTGTTCTTCGTGCAGAAACGCGTGATCAGCAGCCTCTGGCTGGATCTGAAACGAAACGCCAAATTCTGTCATGTTGCCAATATGCAAAATTAATATATCACAATATGTATATTTATAGCCAGTTAAGGGAGCAATATTATGATATTATAGTTTTGTTTTTAAATTACTTATTGAATTACAAATGTAAAATACTGAATTTTAAGATAACCATTCTTTTTTCTGGGAGATGGATTCTCCTTAGGCAGTTGTGTGAAAATGTCCATAATAGTATTTTTGAGCATCATACCAAAACATAAATTCTTTAGTTTTTTATAGAAGAGCACCACCTATGGGCTTATCAGGTATTTGAGGGAAATTTTTAAAAAATAAAACCTAATATAATTCTTTCTACTTTTTTCCTATAACTAGTCTGTTCATTTATTTAAAAATTAACAAATGTCTGCTTTTTCTTAAATTATTCCCACCTAGTTTTTGGATGTATCTTGCTGTTAAATCAGCTAATGAGTATTTGAGTACTGGTATGTCATCAGTACAGTAGTATGTTTCTAAGTTAAAGATAATTGCACTCAAAACTTATTATTGTCTCTAATGTAGGTGAAGCTTCTAATGAAAAGCAATTTCAGAACAAGTATAAAGGACACATGGACAAAAACTAGGGGTGGGTGGAAATGGGAGGGAGGTGGGGAGGGCCCAGGGGTGGGCTGGGATGGGAGTAAAAGAAAACTACTTGAACAACAATTAAAATTTTTAGAAATCAAAAAAAAAGAAAAGCAATTTTCTACATTTGAGGGAGGAGTGATGATTATTTGTGTTGTGTTTGTTTGTGTCTAAATGAACTTAAGAATTTCTTCAGTATACAACTCCAGAAAGTTTTGACAAGAGACAAAAAGAAAGAAAAAAGTTTTATGATTTACGATATCTTTTCATTAGTTATTAGAATGATAATTCATTACAGCAGTGTTTTTCAGCTGGTGTGCTGAAACACGCAAACAGGAGTTTTTAAAACACGCAATCCCCGACTATTGAGTGGGGGTATGGACCTCTTTGCCCTGGGATGGTCAGATTGAAAAATGACAGCAGCCAGCACAACAAGCTGTCTGGTGTGAATGTATCAAAATTATACCTATTTTTTTTGTCAGATAGAAAAAACATGTATCTTTTCATGTGCCGCAGAATTTTAGTAGTTACTTTATGTGTGCCATGTAATGAAAAAGGTTGAAAACCACTGTATTCGAACATAGTTAGAAGCAAAACTCTAGTACTTCATTGTTAATAAGCTCTTAAAATCGAGTGACATTTGTTTAAAATTAGTCTTTTTCTAAGGGACTATTCATTAAAGTTAAAATTTTTTTGTAAGGGATATTTTACCCTTAATAAAATTTGATAACAAAAGAAGCACTGGAAGCTTTGTGGGTTGGCAATCAGATGTGTGCTAGCTTCTTGATATGTTACATACATCCTTGTGTTCTGTGCCGTGAATCTCCATGTTCTGAAAGTGACTGAAAACAGTATCTCTTTGGCAATGTACCCTAACTCCAAAATAGACCCATTCTAGGCATAAATACTGTTTTTGCAGTAAAACGTACTTTTAAAACCTTAATTGCAAGTTTTATTTTTCAGGGAACGGGTTAGTCTATAGAAATAAGGATTGACTAAGCAACATTGCTTGCTTTATTTTGATCATTGTGGATAAAAAGTTATTAAAATTACATAGTACACTTCTTAGCATTCTAATTTAAATTGAACAGAGTATAACCTCTGTTACCAAAAACAATTTTTTCATTATTCCAAATTATAATTGTAATAGAGATACTTGCCTTTCTACAAATGGGGTTACCTAATTTTTGAACTAACAGCAGAACTCAAAGAGCATGAAATGTCAGACCACATATTATATCAGGCACTTCACTTGCAGCGATTCATTTATTCACTCAGCTGCGTTGGCTAGGTGTGAGTAATGCTGGTAGACTGGGCGTGCTCTCCGACCACTGGGAACACGGGATACTGAGCAGGCTCTAAGCTGTCATGGTTTTGAGTTCAGTGAATACTTTGTTTTTCTGAAAATTGCCCCATCACGGCTGATGACTGTCTGTGTACCCTTGGCAGCTTCTCTTCTGCTTCTGATTTGACGCCTCTGATCTGTTACTTTAAAAATCAAATAATTCAATTTGTCAAAATTATATCAAATAGAACTTTAAGTTTTACTGAGGGCTTAAACACAGATTATATATGTATGTTTTGTAGCCCAACTTTTTGAAGTTGCAGGAGAATAAAATGTCAGAATTGAGCTGAAATGGGGGAGGGGGGGTAAAGTGTTAACTGTGTTCCCATGGGGGCTGCAGATAGTCGAGAACACAGTCCAGGGAAGTGGTGGTAGTAGTTTGAACGTCTCTGTTTTTTATGATACTTGGATATCTAACCACATAAGGGTATTTTAATCATGACTACGAGATCTGTCCAAGAGGTATCCAGCCAGGTAATGTGAAAAATAGAGACATTTATTGAAGAAGGTACAAGAAACATTGTACATAGGACAAAGGGCAATGACACCTCAGTCCCCTTCAAAGTACGCACCTTGGGACCTCACACAGTTCTCCCAATCACCTCCAGCTGCCCTGTCGTATTTTCCTGAATCTCATAGATGATCTGAAATCTCTTCCCTTTCAAAGGTGACTTTAGTTTTTGGAAAAGTCACAAGATGCAGGGTGCTAAATCTGGGCTGTAGGGGGTCTGAGTCATGTGAATGATTTGATGTTTCACCAAAAAACTGCACAAGACGTGATGCATGAGTGGATGCACCATTGTGATGAAGCTGCCAGTCACCAGCTGCCCATAGCTATGGCGTTCTGAATCATCCTAATAGTTTCTGTGGAGGAATGTTCAAGCTTAACACAAAATTTGATGCAGATTCATTGCTCTACTCACTCAGTCATTTTGAATGCAACGGCCACACAGTACACATGCTCACTCAATGGCATCCACCACCTTCACTAACTAGTACAGTGATGTACCAAACTGTTCTTGTTATATTAACAGTGGCTGGACTCATCCTGGACAGACCTTGTATTTCAAGCCTTTAAAAAAAAATAACGTAGAAATTACTCATGACTCTGTAATACAATTTGAAAGTATTAAAAATAAGTTACACGACTACTTTGCAGTAATTTTGCAATAATGTTTGGCTGTCTTTATTCAGCCATCCACTAACTTTAACAATCCAGCTTTTTGCTATTATGTTTATATATGTGCTGTCCCATAATAATTTTGCTCAAAAGATTATTTATATGAAGTCTTTTATTTAAAGTATCCAAAAAATAAAATAGTACTCCTAAGGATATAAACACAGTAGTTCAGTAAATACTGAACTCTAAGTAGTATGTAATAAAATAAATGTAAAAGGTGAGTTTTGAAAAAAGATGAATGGATGGGTAGATGGAGCAATTGATTGATCTCCATGGCTAAAGCTAGCAATTCTGACTCTTAAACTATTATTCAGAGATCCAACTTGAAAACCTCTGTCCTCCCGAAAATGTGTACTTAATTAGGATATGATAGCTTAACTAAAAGGAAGGAAAATAAAGTGTCTCATTTGAATAATAGAAGCTTTTTAAGGTTGATAATACCATATTTTATTGTACATGATTTGTTGTCTGCAATGTTGGTTTTTTTTTAAAAAAAAACACTGATTTACTTAATGCTTTCTTTTAAAGTATAATAATTAGCTAAGATTGCTTTGGCTATCTTCCAGCCTGTGGAGAGACTCCAGAACAGATTCGAGCACCAAGCGGTATAATCACAAGCCCAGGCTGGCCTTCTGAGTATCCCGCCAAGATCAACTGTAGCTGGCTCATAAGGGCAAACCCGGGGGAAATTATTACTATAAGGTAATTCTGGCATCTTTCTCTACTACTATATGCTACTTTATTACAAAATAATTTCATTTCCAGTTATCTTCACTTAACATATAAAAAGATGATTTTCAGAAAATGTAATAAATTACAGTTATTAGTTTCATCTTAAGGGTAAGAACAGCGGCCCATTCTTTCTCTGCTGTTACGGCAGGTGTTTTAAGTGTCTCCTCCTGGTGGTAATGGATTGGCACTGCGTCATTCATATTTTTCTAGGCCACTTGTTAACAAAAGGTACACATTAACAAAATAGCGTATTAGGTTCTAGAGTGTAATCTTTGGCCATGGGAGATCCAGCCCATAATGTTGGTCACATTAGTAGCATCCTGTACCCTAATGAGTTCTGTGTGCATATTTACATGTATGTACAAAACTTGGATCAAGCTGATGGTGGGTAAATACTGTGTCTAGAAAAACCTCCGTTTTCCTAACTTTGAAACAAAAGAACACTTGTCAGGAATACGAAGTTGAAGATATTCCTAGAGAAAATAGCCGTAAGTTTAATACTCTAAGAATAACTATGATATAAATAAGAAAGATTAAGATTTAGTTTAAAAAACATTTAAAATTGCAGAGAAAAACTGTGGGAATAAGATATTAGGGAGAAAATATTTAGCGGAACTAGCTGTTGCCTGCTTATGGGAATCATAGCAAGGCTCTCAGAAAGAGCAGTTTGCCTGAGGGGAGGAAAAGGGGTGTGGCTGCACAGAGAGCTGGAGGTGGAGCCGAAGCACAAGTGAGAGGGCATCTCTCTCGCAGAGACCGCGATCGGCAGCAGCACACAGGCATCTGCAGCGTTTCTTCCATTGGTAACATTTCATAGGTAAGAGTCCTAGAAGTTTAGAAGTAGACTGAGATTATAAATTTAGCCTGCTTTTGTATCTTTTTTACATCCATTAATTAACGAGAGAACCATGCTCTGATGAGGAACACAACTGTGGTCTATCCCCTTTTTTGTATGGAAGTCATGAAACAGGGTCCATAGGGTTATTTTCCCTTGGTCCCCTCAGCCCCAGCCACACCTTCTGGAACATTGGAGCTGAGCTTGCAGAGGCTGTTCTGCTCCTGTGAAGAGTGATTCCCTTGCAGGATCGATCGGAAGGATATGCCTCTGAGGTTTTCCTTCTGCAAACGTACCAGTGCTGGAACCTGAGCAGTATGCTTATTTTTCTACTGCAATATGGCTAAGTATAAATGTGTACACAAAATAGGATTTTTTTTTTATCATAGGGATTCCAAATGTTGGATCTCTCTTCAAAGTAAAACTAGAATTTTTGGAGATATTTATCTTTTAAACTAAAAGTCCGGCCTCAAAATTGAATTTGCAGCTTACCAGCTCAGTGCTGTAAGACTTGGAAATTCCTGCCGGCGCAGTGGAGGCTCCACGGAACGCAGCCATCTGCTTCTGACCGTGTGTTGGATCCACGAGGTTTCACAAGTGAGCTGCACTAAAAGCAAGCACAAGACTGAAGTGCAGAATAAAGTGGAGGCGCAGCCCACATCTCAAGGAAGATTTCCTGAATCCTGGAAGGAGTTAATGAATTTGGATTCATGCCCAATAAGATCCTGAAATTAAGAGTTCATTTAGAACAAATCTGAACAAGCTCACTAACAGCTCACTAACTGTAAAATTAAGCCTCCACAAGTTCAGGGTGATCAGGGAGTAATTTAGTCACACAATAAAACAAAAATAGTATAGGAATCTCAACCTGTCCCTGAGAAGACACAACAGTTAATTCAAGAGAAATCCTAGGGGTGAATGTAAAAACTCAAACTCTAAAATATTACAGGAAATCATTATTGGCCCTGGCTGGTGTAGCTCAGTGGATTGAGCTCAGGCTGCGAACCAAAGTGTCGCAGGTTCAATTCCCAGTCAGGGTACATGCCTGGGTTGCAGGCCATGACCCCCAGCAACCGCACATTGATGTCTCTCTCTCTCTCTATCTCCCTCCTTTCCCTCTCTGAAAATAAATAAATAAAATCTCTTAAAAATTAAAAAAAAATCATTATTGAATATCTTTGGGATCTTGAGGGTAGGCAAAGGTATTTTAGAGAGGACAATAAAAGTACTAAACATAAAGGAAAAGATAATAAATTAGGCCCGATTAGAACTGAAGTTAAAAATGTCTGCTCATTAACAGATACCATTAAGAAAATGAAAAGACAATCCAGATAGGCTAGAAGAAAATATCGGCAATACACGTATCCACCACAGGGCTGGACTCCAGCACGTACAAAGGAATATTTGTAACTCGAAAACCCAACGTTATTAAATGGGTGAAAGACTTGAACACTTTGCAGGAGAATAAGAATTGGCCAATAAGCACACGAAAAGGTGTTCAACAGCGTTTAGTCTTCAGAGAAGTGCGTATAAAATTACAGGGAGAGATGCCATTTTATTCCCCGCTAATGCCTGTTAGACAGAATGTGTGTGTGTGTGTGTGTGTGTGTGTGTGTGTGTACTTTCTGTAACAGTCACACCCTAAATAGGAACATGTTTATGCTATATAAAGAGCTCTTTTAAAAATACAAAAATTTAATGGATAAAGGATGCAAAAAGGCAATTCACAAGAAAGAAATAGCTGATGAACATAGGCAAAAGTGTTTCAATCTCTGTAAATAAGGAAATGCAAAATAGAGCAATGATAACCTTTTGCCAACCTAATTGGCAGCAGATTTTTTGACAAACAGAATATCTCATTTTGCCAGAGTTGTGGGACGTAAGGTACTTCTCTACACACACCGTGGAGTCGTGACTTGATATAAACATTTCTCTCAGTGCCTAAAACCGTTACAGTAGAAGTGTGTCTTCTGTCCTAGCAATTCTACTTCTAGAAAATATGTCCTAGACAGATGAGCATTTATACACTTGCTCACATGTAGAGAGAGAGATGCATGTTTAAGGATTCTTTAAATCATTTTTCATAATAGTGAAAGGTGGAAACAAAATTGTCCGTCAGCCTTTGATACAGTTTTTCAGAGTATTTAGAGAGGAAATATCCTGCTATTATAATTCTTGGGTAATTAATTTTGTTATCACATAATTTAAGGCCGAGGCAAGGGGACAAAATCAGGTCTTCCCTTTTTTGTAAGGCCTGTCACTGGAAAATGGTATGTGGTTCCTGCTTTTCCACAGCAGTGGTCATCCTGTGTGTGCTCTTGTTTACTCGCCATTTTGCCTGTACTCGTGCCCATATTTTGTGAACTATGGGATAATGTTCAACTATAAAGTTAACATAAGTTAATACCAAAAAAAGGTATATTTAAAGGGCATTTCACTGAAAAGTTTGTTTGTTTACTTTTAATTCTTTTTACCTTACTCAGATTTGTGCTGTTTGTTCTCCTATAAATGTAAGCTGTAAACTTTTCACTAAGCAAGCACTCTAATCTAAGAGACTGCTGGCTTTCTCCGTGTGCACTTCAGATCAGTAGGTCGCAGAGTGCTGTTTTGGGTTCAAACACAAAACAACTTAGTGTTTTAGGAAAGACCACTTAGAAGACCACTTAGAAGTGGTCTTTCCTAAACACACACACAGAGAAGAAATCAAAAAGGTGTCAGCTATCACCTGTTTTTTAGCATTATTTTGGAATCTGACAGCGGACAGTATAATCTGTTGATGATATGGTTGTACGTTTGGAAACCCAGAACAACATATAGAGATTTGTAATAAAGCCCTCAGTTACATTGTATTATGATGATTTTTTTTTGCCACAATTACCCTTTCTCATAATCTTTTCTTTTTGTTTGTAGTTTTCAGGACTTTGATATTCAGGGGTCCAGAAGATGCAGTTTGGACTGGTTGACAATAGAAACATTCAAGAACATCGAAAGTTACCGAGCTTGTGGTTCCACGATTCCACCACCGTACATTTCTTCCCAAGACCACGTGTGGGTCAGGTTCCACTCCGATGACAGTATCTCTAGAAAGGGTTTCAGACTGGCGTATTTTTCAGGTGTGTTTCTTAATAAGAAGAAAGATGCTAGACAGAAATGTATAGTATTAACTGCTCGGTCACTTGGGGCCTAGTCTTCTAAGCACTCTTCAGTTGAGACTTACGTTCCCGTGGTAGCTGTGATTGAGAAATTAGAAGCTAAAGGTTCACATGCCCTAGAGCTGGGTCTTAAAAGGTGTTTCATATAATCCTACCTAATACAATGATTAATTTTATAAACAAAGTTCAGTTTTCTTTTTAAAAATTTTAAATATACTAAGTTTAAAAGGAGTTTTTCCCTCTCTGCTGCTTACCCATAGCCTGAAAGTTACTTCAGAATATATTTTTGTTTGTGAATTACCATTGTCTTCACGAAAAGGCATACTGGGTTCACCTTCATAGTTGGTAGCCTCAGAAGTCGTCTTCTGCTGTTTTTTAACTGTATCCAGAAACAGTGACCAGATCATAACAAATGTGAGTGACTCAGAGCATTCGAGTTATGCATATGCTTTGCTGAAAACCATGTCACATCTCCTGAAATTCCATGGTTGTCTTTAGCAAACATGTTTCTTTCTCTCTTTTTTTCTTAAAAACACAGTCTTAGTGATATTTCGGCTCTGAAGCACCTTTTCTGCCCCGCTCACCAATAAATGAGTTGTTAATGGAAGATTTAGCACTGGCCCAACATGATCAATTTGGGGACAAGAGGGGATCTAGCATTTGCTTTTCTTTCTCTACTTCATTGTTTTGTGTCCACAGTGGTACACAGAGATAATTAGAATCTTCTGTGCATTTCAGGTTTTTTTCTGTCTCTTTTCCCTAGTGTTGTGGTCATTAAATTTATGCCTTTAGGTCAGGTTAATGCAATATTTTGCAGTTATGTTAAAACTAGAGAAATTACAAAATGGGAGTGCTATGATATAATTACATGGAACATCATAAACATGATAAAGTTGATCTTACAGTCTTAGCAAAAATCTAGGTAAATAATGGGCTTACAAAATATCCTGATATGCGTAACAAAATATTGTGTTATATATATATAAAAACAACTAGAAAAGAACATGAAAAGTGGTTTTGAAAAGGTGATTTCCGTAGATGAATTTTTCTTTATTTCAAAATGTCTGTCATTTTGCTGTTCACGCAACATAAATGTTTAGGCAGCATATCTTATGGACTCATGAGTCTTACATCATTTTACTGGATGTTCTTGGTAAGATAGCTTTTGATAAAAACAGATGGTTTCTTCTCTTTAGATCGAACTGCAAAGATCTTTATGGAACAAATTATAAGTTTCTAATAAATTGAATTGTTGAGTGATTTGTGAGCCAATATTAATTTGTCATTAGAACTCAACCTATTTTTAGAACAAGATTTTTGAAACCCCTTTCCTTGGGCTTAACATTTATTATAAAAATGTCACTGGCTATTACATATCTTTTGAAGAGTATGTTTCTGTCTCCTTAACCTCTCCACCTCCCTTCTTCCCTCCCCTGTCTTCCCAGGGAAGTCGGAGGAACCGAACTGTGCCTGTGACCAGTTTCGTTGTGGGAATGGAAAGTGTATCCCGGAAGCCTGGAAGTGCAATGACATGGACGAGTGTGGAGACAGTTCCGATGAAGAGATCTGTGCTAAAGAAGCTAATCCCCCAACATCTGCCTCTTTCCAGCCCTGTGCTTACAACCAGTTCCAGTGTCTGTCTCGGTTTACCAAAGTTTACACCTGCCTGCCCGAATCTTTAAAATGCGATGGGAACATTGACTGCCTTGACCTAGGAGATGAGATAGACTGTGATGTGCCAACGTGTGGGCAGTGGTTAAAATATTTTTATGGTACTTTTAATTCTCCCAATTACCCAGACTTTTATCCTCCTGGAAGCAATTGCACCTGGCTAATAGACACCGGTGACCACCGTAAAGTCATTTTACGCTTCACCGACTTTAAACTTGATGGTACTGGTTATGGTGATTATGTGAAAATATACGATGGGTTAGAGGAGAACCCACACAAGCTCTTGCGTGTGTTAACTGCCTTTGATTCTCATGCACCTCTTACCGTTGTTTCTTCCTCTGGACAGATAAGGGTGCATTTTTGTGCTGATAAAGTGAATGCTGCCAGGGGCTTTAATGCCACTTACCAAGTAGATGGCTTCTGTCTGCCATGGGAGATACCCTGCGGCGGTAACTGGGGCTGTTACACTGAGCAGCAGCGCTGTGATGGGTATTGGCACTGCCCAAATGGGAGGGACGAGACCAACTGCACCATGTGCCAGAAGGAAGAGTTCCCGTGCTCCCGGAACGGCGTCTGTTACCCTCGTTCTGATCGCTGCAACTACCAGAATCACTGCCCAAACGGCTCAGACGAAAAAAACTGCTTTTTTTGCCAGCCTGGAAATTTTCACTGTAAAAACAACCGCTGTGTGTTTGAGAGCTGGGTGTGCGATTCTCAGGATGACTGCGGCGATGGCAGCGACGAGGAGAACTGCCCAGTCATCGTGCCCACCAGAGTCATAACCGCCGCCGTCATCGGCAGCCTGATCTGCGGCCTGTTGCTGGTCATCGCGCTGGGGTGCACCTGTAAGCTTTACTCTCTGAGGATGTTTGAGCGCAGGTCAGTATCCTGAGAAAAGCTGGAGCGGCGCTGCTCCATGCAGTGAAGATAAGGCCCAGTTACTTGCAACAAGTGCTTTTGTGTGATTGGCCGTGTCTTTTTGTTTTGTATCATTTAGAAATAAATAAATATTGTTAGAAATAAATAAATATTGTTAGTGATCTATAAAATTAGCGTGAAAAGCTGAAGACTCAAAAGACTTAACATTTTTTAAGTGAATAAATACTTAGGATTATGGGCTGAAAATAGCCCATCTGTATTTACCAGTTCCTATTTTCAGATGAGTCTGTTTTGTAGGAATTTTCCAAGCTGTAACTCTTAGTTGTTGTGTTTCACCTATATTTTTATAAATATTCATTCAATAATTTTAGATATTTGAGGACATACTATGTTCAAAGGACAGCAGGTGAATAGAGAAGTGGAGAAGACAATGTCACAGGCAGTTCACAGTTCAAGAAAGGAATTGGTGGTGAAATAAGATGACGAAAGTGTACGTGCTCTAAGAGCTGTGGAACAAAGCAGTACAGAAGTCCAGAGATACCCGCTCTGAGAGGAGAGGCAGGAGAGGCCCTCAGTGAACAAGTGCCGTGTGAAATCTATGGGTAGAATGCAGATAGGGAAAAGGTCTTGCAGTTGAAAAAGTAGCCTGGGAAAATGCGTGGAAGGAGGGATGCCAGCAATCCTCGGAGAATAGGCACATAGTTTAATTTGTCCGGAGCTAAGATACATGTAAAGACCCAATAGGAGATAAGCCTGGAACACAAGGCCGATGCTGTGTAGTGGAGCTCTGTGAGAGCCACACATCTGAGCTCTCGAGTGAGGAAGAAAAGGTAAAACGTAAAAGGGTACCCTTGGGGGGAGCGGCCCTCTGTGTGGTGGTGGACAGACTGAACCTTGGAGAAGCTGCAGAGAGGCCCCTAGGAATCTGCTGTGGAGGCAGTGGCCCTCCGTCCCAGGAGAGCTGCACATAGTGTGTTCCACAAAGAACCGCGTGTACCGGCCAGCTGGGACTGTAGACGCACACAGACACCAGTACCACAGCACCACACTGCGTCTTTCTTTGGGCTAGTACAAGTGGCCAGGAAACTTTTACTACGTTGCCCCATAAGACCACAGCGAAGAGTCTGAGGTCTTGAGTTCCAGAACCAGTTACTCTAGAAAGTGTATTAGTGACTTATTTCACTCTTCCTTATCTGAAAAATGAATGTGTTGGGCTTGATGAATAAAGTGTCTTCTAAGAGCTTTCAAATTCTTTCACCTAAATCCTCAAGCTCCCTGTGTTCTTAGGGCCTTAAAGATCTGGTACCTTTACCTCCTATGGGATTTCTAATTCACTAACCCTTAATGACCCAGGCTCCCGGTGTAAAGCCGCCTGAGGCCACACTGCTTCATCTCTGCGCTCGCAGTGCAGGGTGGTGTAAACACCAGCAAACATTGGTTGACTACGCTTTTAAAATTATCCCATATATTAAGATTCACATTGTTTTAATTAGTGATGACTTTTTAAAAATCTGTCTTATCCTCTCTTAAGCCCTTTTAATCCCCTTATTTCTCCTCCAAGATCATTTGAAACACAGTTGTCAAGAGTGGAAGCAGAATTGCTCAGAAGAGAAGCCCCTCCCTCTTACGGACAGTTGATCGCTCAGGGTTTAATTCCGCCAGTTGAAGACTTTCCTGTTTGTTCGCCTAACCAGGTACGTTGCCGTTCATGGTTTCTGTTTTAGTGCCTCTTAAAACCGCGCCTGTACTTGTATGTGTGATAGAGGACCCTCGACTCGGAATTTTTGTCACGACGTCGAGCATAAAATATACGAAATTTGAAATCATAATTGTTTCATTGTATTTTAACAAATACCACAACATACAAAAGTATGCTTTTCATTCTTCTGATTTGGTTATATGACTGACTCTTAAGCATTTTACTGTTTAGGTTAATTTAGTACATTAAAACCAAAAGTGAACTTTTCTAAATTCTTTTCTACTTCAGCTGAACATGCAGAAAATTTGAGAATGAATACCAAAATTAATATGCTAGTAATATATTAGTAACATGCTAGAATAATCAGTAGTAATTAACAGTAATTGAAACATTTCCCTTCAGCTTGTGGGAAAACTTTTACAGCTGGATTTTACAGTGTTTAAGAATTCATACCATTTTCTTTAAATATAACTTATTCCTTCCTTATTAATGTTTCCGAATTCTTTAAATTTTGGTTATGATTTTTAAATTTTCTTTTTCATTGCTTAAAATTATTCCAGAATTCGTAAGGGTTTACACATTCAAAATGTAAATTCCTCCAAAATCATTAATAAAAATTGTTCCCGGTATTAGAATTAAGAAAAATTGATAAACAGTGTTTTCCAGTGATTTGATTTTGTTCAAAATGGAAGATCATTTTCTTTTTGTTAAATGAGATTTCCGATTACCTTATTTGCATCTTGTAGGAAATCTTTGGTGAGAATTTGTAGCTTTAAAACATATCTCTGGATGTAATTTGCTAAGTAAATTCCACTGCTTGGGATTTTGCGTACAAAATGGGACACCTGTAAATTGTGGCTTCTGCACACTGTGTCTGCCTCGGAGGTTTCCTTTTAGCTAGGAATTCAGACAGTGGTGGGCTCCATCTGCCCTCTCCACCTCTTAGTAGCACCCACCGCCCCTGCACCTTCAGGAGTTTAGCCAACTGTGAAGTTAAAGGGAGCATAGTTCACACTAGACAATCCTTACCGCTAACACCAAGTGCAAGTTCAGGGTTTCCTAAAACCATCCTCAGGTTTGATAATTCACTAGAAAGACTCAGAACCCACTGAAAGCTATTGTACTCGGTGGTTATAGTTTATTACAGGGAAAGGACCCAGATTAAACCGACTGAAGGAAGAGACACATAGGGCAGGGTTCAGGGTTAGGACTCAAAACCCTTCTGATTATCCTCTTCCCATAAAGGCAGGACAGTATCACTCTTGACACAGATGCAGGATAGGATGCGAGGCATGTTGCCAACCAGGGAAGCTCACTCGAGACTCAATATCCAGAGTTTTTACTGGGGCCAAATCCATCACATAATCATGATTAATTGCCACGTGGCTGACCTCAAGGTCTAGTCCATGCAGAGGCTGACTGATAATTGCCGACCCAAAGCCTCCCCCCAGCATCTGGTTGTTGGTGTGACACGGAGCCTTCACCTAAGGTCCAGTTTTACTGTGTGGCTGGCTCCAGGCTCCAGGTCGTAACATTCCTAACACAGACAGCATTCCAAGGGCTAAGGGACATCCTAGAAGCAGAGAGTAAAAGTCGGACCTCCCTTTGGGTAAGGTTTAATTCTTAACTACACACTGTACCATTTTGGGTTACAATTCCCTTGTGAGGGAATTCTATTTCAACAAGGCTTTAAAATAAAATATTTAAGAACAGTAAGCTACATTGTATTCAGCTAATGAGACTCAACTCCCAAGTTTGAAACTTTTGCTAACAAATTATCAGATTGTCAGAGCAGTTCTTAAGAAAATGATCTAAATGACCATTTCATTCAAAATAGAAGTGCTTTCCGAGGAATGCTTTCTTCTGCTTCATAAACTAAATATATGAAATGATTCCTGAAACATTTATGGGATCTCTCATAGAATCTAATGTTAAATTGACCATTATAAATTAAAGAGACTTCAGGAAGGAGTGAGCTCTGCTTCACTGTGGACGACTGTCATGCTCTGGCCAGCACTAACGTGAGCCGAAGGCGTGGCTGAGCTCGCGGGCGGTAGCCGCAGGAAAGGGAGGGATCTCGGAGGTGCCCCTGTTCGCTGCTGCACGTGACCACACACAGTGCTCACACACAGCCTTAGCACCTGCATGCTCAATGGTGAGGACCGAACCTCTGGAGAAGTTTCTTAGGGAAGTGAACCACTTCTTCTCTTTCTTTTTTTAATAATTAGGTACTACTTATAGGCGGGCAATCTTAGTCACTTGTGTGGCAAATCTACATGTGCTGACACTGGAATTTCTCAGTGACAGTCTGTGCTTCACTAAGGCCAGACTGTGAGATAGATATTCCTATCATAGTGGCTCTCAGCTTTCTGTGAATTATATTCCTGGGGCTATGTTTGAAAGGCCTGAATGGAAATCACAAATAAATTCAGTAGCGGTCACAAAGAGCGACGAAGACCTTGTGCTCTCACATCCTCTGTATTTTTCACCCGTGAGGGGAAAGGCAGAGGAAAATGGGATCAGCACCTGAAAGGGAGTGGTGGACTCTCCGGCGTTCCCTGGAAATACCGGATGTTCGGTGCTGAATGCCAGATTCAGGCACTTCTTTTCTGTAACCACTAGATGGAGCCCAAAGACTATTTTATATAATACTGTATGTTTTGTTTTTAATAATCTGTAAACTCATTCATCTAGAAAAAAGTAGGCATTTCTCTCATTTGGGAAACATATACTAATTAAATCACTCCCATATGTACTAATTAAAAATCACCAATTGCAAAGAATAAGAATATAACATGCTTAATGCTGTATTGTGGAAAATAAAACTTAATCTTTAAAGATAAGAAGGAATTCAGATGTCTCAGGTACCATTGTGTAGTGCTATAAACAGATGAATTTCTTTAGCCTTTTTTGTCTTCTGTGCTACATTTACAAATAGGTTAATTAATTATTTATTCCTGGGCCACATAACAAATATGCTAATTCCTTTCGTTACAAATCCTCAGGATCTGTTCATTCAACAAATCCTTGAGAACTAACTGTGAAATATGATTTTCACATGTTTTGGAAAATCTTGACTTTGTAAGTCAGGTCTCACTTGCTCTGTGTTATAAAAACAACAGCAACAAAAAGACAAAAAAGAACGGGTAATGGGCCTAGTTTCCACACTGCTGCTGCTTTAGGTCATTTCGTGGATTACGGCGGAGATTCTTCTACCTTCCTAGCTAACAAGTATCGAGTAATTTTATGTTCTGACTTTGGTGCACTTTTAGGTTTGGATCACTAAGTGGAGTTTTGAAATAAAATAGCAGTTATAATTGATATTAATGACCACTTTACAGTTGCATATAAGAAATGAACAGTTAAGAAAGTCTTAACACAGTCGCCATGGTTCAAGTTCTAGATTAGATTCTGTAGTGGGTAAACCCATGCAGGTAAGAAAACTTCCCTCACCCTGCATAGACCAACAGGAGCACCAGCATTTCTAGCCACAACACATTCTTATTAGAAGAGTGTTTTCTTTCTTAGTACTTCATTGTCAGCGATGTTAAAAGTCTCGTCTGCTCTTTGTAGGCTTCTGTTCTGGAAAACCTGAGGCTAGCTGTGCGGTCGCAGCTCGGATTCACCTCCATCAGACTCCCCATGGCAGGCAGATCCAGCAGCATTTGGAATCGTATCTTTAATTTTGCAAGATCACGTCATTCGGGGTCTTTGGCTCTGGTCTCAGCAGATGGTGACGAGGTCGTCCCTAGTCAGACTACCAGCAGAGAACCTGAAAGAAACCACACTCACAGAAGTCTGTTTTCCGTGGAGTCAGACGACACCGACACGGAAACTGAGAGAAGAGACACGGCAGGAGCGTCTGGTGGGGTTGCAGCTCCTTTGCCCCAGAAAGTCCCTCCCACAACAGCAGTGGAAGCAACGGTGGGAGCCAGTGGAAGTTCCTCAACCCAGAGTACCCGAGGCGGCCACACGGATAATGGAAGGGATGCAACAAGTGGGGAACCCCCAAGTGTGAGTCCAGCCCGACACCAGCTCTCAAGTGCACTAAGTCGTATGACTCAGGGGCTGCGTTGGGTACGTTTTACATTAGGGCGGTCAAGCTCCGTCAGTCAGAACCAGAGTCCTTTGAGACAGCTTGATAACGGGGCCAGTGGAAGAGAGGAAGATGACGATGTTGAAATGCTAATTCCAGTTTCTGATGGAGCTTCAGACTTGGATGTGAATGACTGCTCTAGACCTCTTCTTGATCTTCCCTCAGACCAAGGACAAGGCTTCAGGCAGCCATACACTGCAACAAACGCTGGAGGAAGGCCAGCTAATCGAGATGGCCCCTGCGAGCGCTGTGGCATTGTCCACACGGCGCAGATCCCGGACACTTGCTTAGAAGCGACGCTGAAAAACGAAACGAGTGATGATGAGGCTTTGTTACTTTGTTAGGTACGAATCACATGAGGGAGATTGTATACAAGTTGGAGCAATATCCATTCATTGTTTTGTAACTTTACAATTGAACTAGTATTAATTTAAAAAGGAAGAAGATGCAGGGTGATTTCTTATTATATGTTAGCCTGCATGGTTAAATTAAACAATTTGTAACTCTATGAACTTCAGAGTTTGCTATTTTAGCAGCTAAAAATGCATTATGTATTCATGTTGTTCAATAATGTTCTTCCGTTTGTTTCTCATTGTTTTTATCCTGGTACTGTAGTTCATGTTAGAAATATGGCTGCTGAAACTCATTTGATGTCAGTTCATCGTACGTTGTAACAATTATTTGTACAAAATAGCTTCTTTTAATTGAACACTTTCTGCTTTTGCCAGTACTCTTGTAACTTAATACATTAGATGTTATGGTTGTTACTGTACTCCCAAGGGGGAAAAAAGAACCTTATATTCACCTGTGTTTTTATTTATATAACATTTGTCTAAATATTACTGGGTTTCATCATAATAAGAGCTTGTCAGAGGGAATAAAAAAACCTTGCCTAAAATTTTTTCTCTTATGTTGAACATGCAGTGATATGAAATTTAGATAGAATTAGATTAAATTAATAGCAGAAACAGAACTCTTTTATAGATTTTTCTAATATTGACTTTAATACTCTAATATGGTACAAACCAAATGGTAAATCCCAAGTCATTTCTTTTTTCATCTCTATTGAGGGACAGGATTAAGCGGATGAAGATACTCTACTATGCATTAAATCTTAAACTTTATAAAATGTGTACAAAAGTTGTACAAGATAAGTTCCAGCCGGTCATGTCTTTCCCTGATGCAGGGCTGTGCTTGCATTGCACCCCAGGGATTTGCACTGAAGCCGTACACGTCTCAGATGAGTTTGGTGCGCACGCACTCTCACTTTAAATACTATTATTTGCTACCACAGTGACTATATATTTCCATAGCTTTGGGGGTCGTGGGGGGCATTTTTATTACAACTTGAAATTGCTTTGCTGGTTTTATATTTATTTTGTTGTATTTAAAGACTGCATTATTATAAGAAAGTGACTTTTTCAATATATTTTATTCATGAGGGGGATCATGCTACACGCTGAAAAACAAATTAAGAAATCATTTAGATCAGCCCCCTATTTTAAGTAGACTGATTTGCAAACCCCACATTATTTTTATTGTCAGTTCTTGTTTATTTATTCTTTAGGTGTCTGTTTTAGTAGCTTAATGACTGAGTATGAAAAAATGTATTTGTGTGTGATTATTGCTATTTATTAAATTTTAAATACTTTGCTGAATGTCATTTTCAAGCATGTTTGAGGTCTTGTGTATTTGTCGTGTTATGCTGTCAGGAAGAACTGACTGAAATGTTTTAATATGTATCAAAAATTAAACTGACTTTTTTTGTATTGTTTTGGGGTACTTTTTAAATCAGAGTTGCTCTTTATTTTTGTTTCTTTTGGTTCATATACAAATTCAGGCCATAAAATACATAGCATGTCTAGAAGAAAAATAAAAAGGGGGACAATATTCTTCGTCAACTACTTTATAATAAAGTAGTAGTTACCAATACTGGAGGATTAGAGTCCCTGAGACCTAAATATTATTTTGTCTTTGAAAAAAAAACCTGCCTCTGATTGATGTATCTTCAAAGCTGCAGAAACTCAATCAGCTCTCTTGTTACAATATGTATGGATGCATTTCAGACCCTATAGAATATACTACTGTTCGTAGTTTTGGGGGGGTTAGTTTCCTGGCATGTGTTCAATTTTGTTTATTAACTCTTAAGTCTTCCCGGGTCGAACGGTGAAAAGTGCACCTCTCGCCTGCCTCCGACCCCCATGTTTCAGCTCCCTTCAGAGAGACAGGCACCAGTGCCAGCTTCTTCTGCACCCCTCTGGAAGTGCCATACAGATACATAAATATATCCATATATATGCAAGTTGTACCATACTGTGCATACTTTTTCTGTAACCTTTTCAAGGAAAAATATGTCCGAGTTATATTGAAAGTAAAGTTAGGTATTTCTGTTACTCGATTCTTCGCATTAGAGCATGGGTCTAGCCTGAGTGTGTGTCTGCCGTTTTCCTCCTCAGGGTATCCTAGTTACCCCAAAGCTGTTTATCACATGAATCCGCCCTTTCTTTACTATTTGAAATGACCCTTTTGTCATATAGTAAATTTCCATATTATTGGGCTACGCTTTGAGACTCAGATTCCATTTCTTTTCATTGATCTGCCTTTCCTTTTTTTTTTACCAGTCCTAGACTGTTATAATGACTAATTTTAAGTGTTTCAAATATTCATGTTTATTTTTCCATTGGAGCTTTGGAAACCACTTGTTGAGTTCTGCAAAACAAATCCATTGGTACTTTTTTTTTTTAGATAGATGTACTTTTATAGAAGCAGTGAAATTTGACATCATTATGTTAAATTTTCTAAATCGTGGTGCCCATTTGGTCTTTTCAAGAAGCCATCTAGTGGTTTATTTCAGCATTACAGTTACTTATTTTGCAACTCAATTAGTTGAATTACTTGGTTTTTGTAACATTCAAATGAACTTCTTTGAAGGCAAAACTGTAAATTAAATTGTAGATGGGGCTGGATATGAGTTTGGAGCTCCAAAGAAATCTACAATAAACTTTTAACTGTGTTCTTATTAATACGGATCAAAGCTTTAAGAGTTCCTCTGTGGAGTCCTGTGCAATAATGCCGATTAGGTGAGAATGGAATTAGTGGGCTCTTCTTATGTGCCCCTGTGCTCTGTGACAGGCCATCAGAGATAAATGGGATGTAGCTTTCCTTTTCCAGTTCACAGATGAATGCCCTGAAGTACAAAGAGGGGTAGTTAGGTCCTATTGCTTCTGTGTAGAAACTTCATTCTTTCATAGGAACTTTTCTCCTTTCTTTTGATTCAAACTGGCCTCATCCAGCAGCCGGACTCACCTGCCTCCCTCCCTCTCCCCCATTCCTTTAATCGTTAAGCCCTCAGGACAATGATTCTGGTCGGCATCAAATCTTAGAAATAAAGCCTCAGAGACAGAGTTTCAGTCAAACTAGAGACAATATACAGGCCCAGAAGGGTGGCAAGCCCAGCAAAGGGACGCCAGGGCTGGCATTAGGAGTGACCAGCTGCCCCCTCCCCTAGTGCTGGCCGACCAATCAGGAGAGACCACGCCCTGACTCCCTTAGTCACCGTGATTCATGCTTTCTCCCCTAGATCATCCATTCCCTGGAAGCCATCACGAAGCCGGGTCTTTGAGCATTAACTCACCCGTGACTTTGGGCGTGGGCGACATCTTAAAAATAAACCCTTACTTCCTTCACTGCAAGTTTTTGTTCATGTCTTACTGGATTGTGGTGCTCGCAGGCAAACGGACCCCACTGGTCCAGTATCAGTTTCCTTCACCTACGTTTTCACTGCGTTTACCGTGTCTGGCAGTAAATACCTTTTATGTCAAGAAAATAATTGTCTTCCAAGAAGTATTTCTTTAAGATGAACAATTTTAATGAAGAAGAAACACACACAACGCCATTGCTATGCAGTTATATTGGAGAAATGACAGCATACAATTAGATAGCTTAGAGGGTGCAGAGGTAAACACGTTCCAGGTCAGAGGAGGGAGGGAGCCGAGGTGGGACGAGTACGTATTAGGCAGGGCCACACCTGACTGCTGTCTCTCTCTGTGCCTTATGATTTGGCTTTTACACCGATCTCCTCGCACATCTGGGCCATCAGAGCCTCAACACTGCCATGTCTGCCTAACCACATAACTTTAAACAGCGCCGTAAGGGCTCCCGAACAGCCTCTGCTGCTCCTGCTCCGCCCCCACCTGCGGCATGACCCAGCATCTCCCAAGATTCCTGAAAAAGTTGGAGGAAACCCCAGTGAGGTCTGCCTTGAATCCCGTTTGCCTTAGACATTCACTGCCTCGGGGGTTCTGTTTTAAGTTCAGGGCGCAGGGAGAATGTAGAAACAAAGTAGGTAAATTCTCTTGCAGGCACCCTGCGGGTTAGTCATTTGTATCCAAGTCTAAAGTCAAAATGCAAAGGGTGGAAAGGAGAACGATCAGTGGTGGCCAGGGGCATGGGCCGTGGAGGAGGAATGACTGCAAAGGGGCACGAGGAAGCTTTCGGGGGTGATGGAAATACTCTCCGTCTTGATCGTAGTGGTTGCATGGCTGCGTGTCTCTCTCAAAATTCATAGTGCTGTGCGCTTAAAAAAGATCCATTCTACTCTGTGTGTTGTACTCTATTTAAATGCTTAAAAATACATAAAATGCAAAATTTCGACCTTATTTTTGTCTAGAGCAAAAATCTAAACAGTATATGTTTTTATTTATTTACTTTTGAGGCAGGATACTAAGAAGCTAGGAAAATCCCTTGGCGAGTGGATTGGGGAAACAGAGACAAATGGTTAAGTGGTTGAGCAATTTACAGCCAGTTAATAAATGACAGGTTTGTCTTCCCTAGCCAAGGACGTTCAGGAGTAAAAGGTGCACACATTCCGGACCATTCCACGGCAGACCTAGGTCCTAGCCTCTCTTCGGTGACATTCTCTGAAGGTGAAACTAACCGGAGAATAACACCGATCCCTCTATACGCTCATTTTGATTCATCAACATGTTAAAGGACACACCTGGAAAGCTGATGAATATTCTATTTAGATTATTGAGATCTGCCCCTGAGGCCCCCCCTAAAATTCCCACCTTTAAAAAAAATAGACAAAAACCCTTAAGACAAAGGACCCGGTGTGTGCTCTCCGTGGAGCACATCCCTACCTCCTCCCCAGGCCCCCCACTCATCACACACACACACACACACACACACACATACACACACACACTTCTTTTCTTGGATGTGTATCTTTGCTTTGTTCTTCCCAATCTCTAAAGGTTTTCAGGAAACTTGCAACCAGGGGAGCAGTGGGCAGCGCAGCTCGTCCCCCGCTAACAAACCCCTTGAACCTGTCTCCAAGGGCCTTCTCTTGCCTCTCTAACTCGTCCTCTGAGTCCACCCAGGCCAGCTGGCTCACTTCCTCTGCCTCTGAGACTTTCTCTAAAGGGCCAAGGCAGCTTTGGTGACACTCTTGCCTCTTAAGAAAATTTTTCTCAAGACCAGTAGGAGTATTTCATATGCAGTGGATCTCATGTTTACAGGGTAAAACTGTTGATATGAAGAAAATTGCTAGAATAGAAAAATAAAACAATTGGTTTTGCTACTAACATCTAACAAGCTCTATGCTATGGCCTGACATGCGTTGTCTCATCGAAAGCGTACAGGCCCCCCGTCCTGGGTCAGCACTACCATTAGGGGGAACACGAGCGAGGCCTAGACAGTTAAGGTACTGAGCTAAGGATCCACAGATGGTAAGCCATCCATCCATGACTCAAATTCAGATCAGCCTGGCTCCCAAGTCCAAGCGTATTTATTTTATTTTACTCCGTTACACTTTTTCTAATTAAGGGAGCACTCTTATGATTTCCTTAAGTATTATTATAATCCTGGAACATATTTTGCTAAAAAAAAACCTCCAAAATAACTTGGGAGCCATGGCACAGTGCAGGTGAGAGGAGCAGGAGAGTTTCTGGAAGCACAAGCTAGTGCTGCGGGCAATGCGGACAAAGGAAACATTCCAGCTGCCAGGTCCCTGTGGCATCACTTGAGAAGGCCGTGTGTTCCTTGTTCAAGGAGAACAATGCTAAGCCCGGAAGTTATCTGGATAGCTGTTTAGTTCCCGGGTCCTGGGAATGTTGCCTTATATGGCAAAAGGGACTTTGCAGATGTCATGAAGTTAAGGATTTCAAAATGGGGAAATTGTTACCAGGCTACCCGGGTTTGGTTGCCTGTACACATCACAGTCCAAGAAGACATGAATAGGAGTTTGCAACAAAGAAAGTAAGGGTTTCTTTTCAGGAAGTGGAGCACTCCCAGAGTCAGAGCTGGTGAGCTAACGCTCAAAGACCTGACTTCCATATGGCTTCCAGGGGATGGGTTATATAGCAGTGGGGTGGGGGGGGAGGGGAACCACTGATCATGGTGACTGAGGGAGTTAGGGTCATGGTCCAGGTCGTGGTCTGTACCGATTGGTCAGTGCTAGGGGAGGAGGTAGCTGATTGGTGCATCTGGTCCTGATGTCAGCCACAGCGTCATTTTATCGGGTTTTCCCACTTTTCTGGTCCTGGAGCTAAAACACAACTAAGGCCCAGATGTCATCTCTAGTTTGTCTGAAACTGTCTCTGGCCGACAGACCCGAGTCTTCATTCCTAAGATGATTTGATGCTGGCATGAGCCTCAATGTCCTCCAGGATTAACAGTTAAAGGAGAGGACATCCAAGGGAGAAAGGCGGCAGGGGAGTCAGGGTGTTGGATGAGGCCAGTGTGAATCACAAGGGAAAAAATGGAAAAGGTCACATAAATCTCAGCTGCTGCTGCTGGTGTGGCTATCCTGGGCCACCATGTCCCCCTTCTACCCAGAGGAGGTGCTTCAGGCAAGCGTGCCCTCCCCAGCTGTGTAGTGGCCCGAGTCAGAGGGCCGCTCCCGCCTGCCAGCATGTGATTGCTGAACGGTGAGAAAATGCCATCCTGCCTCTCGGCGGCGCAAGGACCCTGAGACCAGTCTGCTGAGAGCAGCCACAGTGGTGACAGGTGTCGCATGCTGCCTGTGGCCGCCTTTCCAACCAGAGCTCAGTGCAGCGAACACACGGAGCAGCCCCAAATCTAGCAGGCGAGCCCTTTGGTCTCCAGTTCACTCATCTTGACTAGAGAAGAGTTTGACACTGAGACTATGCCGGGCACTCTCTGGGTGGGCTTCTGTCCCTGTGCCCAGAATCACAGACCGTAAAGGCATGAAGGGTGGATCTTACCAGCTCTTCTCAAACAGCAACTCACTCTTCAGTTGACGCGATAGGGGCCCTGAGAGTAAGTGACTTGCCCGAGCTCACACCAGAAGCTGGTGTCAGAGCCAGGGCTAGACTGTAATTCCTCAGTTTCCTTTTCCACCTTCCAGGCTGCTTACCCCCCTCTCCTATTGCTGATTCAGGTATAATAACCTCATTGCCCTGCCAGGGACTTCAATCCCAGTGTGGGCCTGGGGACCGGGGCTTCCGACAGACCCCAGTGCCAGTGGCAGGCTGGAGATGCTCAGCTCTGCCTGCCGGTCTCTCCGCGCTCACAGGCCATCACCACCCCTTCAGCTTCTCCATCAGGTGGAAACAACAGGGCCTGGGGCCTGGGGCCTGGAGTATGAGTGGGGATGGGCCAGGAGAACAGCAAGAGCAAACTCAATGCCTCCAGGGTGGCTGCGGACCTAAATACAAAAGGGCCTGGTGAGTTTATTTCCCCAGAACCACTCAACAAAGAAAGTCACGATTTGTCCCTCCACCTTGCTGCCCCTTTAGACCATCAGTCAGGGCTGGGAAGGTCCTCCTGCCAAGTTGCTCCCACCCGTGCTTCACAGCAGGTATGTTTCTCTGTGTTAAGCATTAATGGTCATGGTAACCCTCCCTTAAAAACTAGCCCGCTGGGGAGTACAGTGGTCCTTCCTTATCCGTGGTTTTGTTTTCTTTGGTTTCAGTTACCTGCAGTCAACTGTGGTCTGAAAATATTAAATGGAAAGTTTAGAAACAAAAACTTGTAAGTTTTAAATCGCATGCCCTTCTGAGTAGAGTGATGAAATCTCGCTGTCTTGCTCTGTCCTGGGTTTGGTAGTATCTGCATTTGCAGTTATGCACTGGGGGTCTTGGAACATGTCCCCCATGGATTCAGGGGGACTCATGTAAGGTGTCCTCAGACAGACTTCAATCAATCAACCAAACTGACTGTTTCTCTGGCAAAAACAGCAGGAGTCTTGTTCCCCGCGTCCTCCCCAAACTGAGTGTCTCCCTGACGCTTGTTCCCTTCCCATCGAGGGCCCTGAGTGTCTGGGTGGGGAGGCGGCTGAGTAGGGCAAAGGAAACGGAGGCGAGGGTGTTCTGAGGACCCACTTCCCTCTGAGCACACTTGCCCAGGCACAGCCTTCCACCTGGGGTGGGCCAATAACGCCCAGAAAGGGGGATGACCCCTTCCACCAGCCCGCATGTCTCCTGAAGCTGGCCCACCACTCTCCTCCGCTGCCGTGAGCGAATCTCAATGAGCCGTTTCCTCCTGCTTCGGCAACATCCTCAAACCCCCTTTTCTGATGAAAATTCACGTTCATTAAACGTGGGAAATTTGTTCTGTGCTGTGTTGCAGGGCATTTCATGATATACAGTGTCTAAGACAAGGAAGCCTTTGAAATCACTCACCTGGGCAGTTTCAGAAAGGATGTCACGACTGCCCTGACATCCAATCTTATTTCCCTAGGGTGGTGCTTACCGGCAGAACTTGTAAGTTGCATTGTATTTATAATCACTCCTTTCACCTTCACACAATGGTCTTTTGACAATAATTGCATAACTTTCTTGGGTTTCTTTTCCTTGGCTTGAGAGCCAGATCTATGGAACTTGAAATTATTGGTGCTGTCTAATGTTTAATCATTCTGTGACTTGTGCAACCTGAGACTCGAAGAAACTTGGCAATCATAATACCTTGCATTTCACTATTGAAAACGCCATCTTGAGGTCACATGTGCCCGCCTGGTTTCCAAACTCAAAGGCATCATCCTGGGCTGTCAGCCTCAAACGACAAAAGATCCCAAGTAAACCAGCTTCAGCAAACAGGAGAAAACCTAGGGGAGGGGACTTGAGGCACGGTTGTTTCGGGAGCTCCAACGAGGTCAGAAGAACCCCATCTCTTTCCATCTCTCCACCTGTTCTCCATGTGGGCTCAGCTCACCAAAGGACGGAGTCCCTGGGTTGTCTAGACGGCTGCCAGAGCCTCTGGTTTACACCCTTCCGAATTCAAGTCCAGGAGGAAGGAACACACTCCTGGGCAGCTGGATCTTACAGAAGTCTTAGGGTCCACTCCCACTGGGCACAAGTCATCTGCCTGGGACAGGCACCCACCCCTGAACACACGGGCCAAGGCTGTGAGGGTTTCCTGCTGTGACTGGGCAGTCAGCTCGGTGGAGCAGCTCAGTCTCAGAGCCAGAGGGCCCAACAGTTCCATCAAGGCAAATGCTCTGAAAACGCTGGTGGGGGATTTCCCACCAAAGACACTGCAGGGACTGTTGGATAAGGACAAGAAATGCTAGGACAGCAGATGTCCACCCCAGTCCAACTTCTCTACAGCATTTGATCTGGGTGCCCTTGAAAATCTGCATTACCACCTTCCCTGCACAGTGCTGTCTGCTCTCCCTGAGTGCTGGGAAGGGATGGCCCGTGGCTGTCCAACCCTATCCCCCTGGAGTAACCTCACAGAGTTCAGACTCACCTTGCCGTCGCCTCCTCTGTGCCTCTACCTACTCTGTTCCCTCAACCTAGAACCCCATTCCTCCTCCCATCCCTCGTTTCTGCGTGTCCATGTCCTCTGCATGCTGGCTCAGATCTCTCTCTATGAAACTTCGTATTTAATTTTCTTCAAGGCAGAAATAAGCTCTCCCTTTCCTCCAAACTCTTATTACGCTCTCTCAAAGGCAGGCTTTTCTGCATTAGACATTCCACTATATATTGAAACAGGTATGTGCGTCACACCACCTCTTAGCTCCTGGAGCTCAGGAATGTGATTTATCCTGATCACTTACCCCTCTACGCAATCCCCCTCTGGGGTCGGTCCTTATAAACCTGGCATTCGCTGAGCAAACATGGATGGCGCTCCCATGTTACTAAGGTGCATTGGCATCCATCAGCAGAAGCCTGTCTGGAGGGGGAGAACAAATACTATCTCAGTTTCACATGTGAGGAAGAAACAGTTTCATACCAAGAGGATAGAAGATGTAATTGAAGACTTCTCAACTAGTTTTACGGAAAGCCGGGAGTAAAGAAACACCTCAATCTTTGGAGTCACATTACCTGTTACTTTCCAAAAAAAACTTGCTGGTATGTATTGAATCATTAAAACCTGGAGAATAGTTGATACCAAGTCGTTTTCATTTCAGACAGACGAAATATTTCACCCTGAACTTTCAGTTTGCCAGTTACTGGGATTGTGTGATAATTTGATCCTCGTGTAAAGAATATTTAAAAGGAAACCCAGATCGAGCGTGCTTGCTGGCTGGTGCGGGTGTTGTCGCTGCTGCTGCTCGTGGCGGTGGTCACCCCCGCACCCCCCTCCCCGCCCCCTGAGTGCGTGCTGGCGCAGACACACTGCCAGTGAGGTGGGTCCCGTTCCCCAGCGTGGCCTTCACTTTCAAAACCCCAAGATCTCTCCCCTGCAATGGCGGGATGTCCACCATAAAGCGACGTGCAAGGCGACATAACGGCGTTTGGGGTCAGAGCTATGCAGATCCGCTCTGCCCGAGCCTCTGGGCGCCAGCCCGGCAATTCCGGGGTGGAGCCGGCGTCCGGAGGCCCCGTGACAACCGGGGCCGCTCGGGCACTCGGGACTGGCCCGCGGTTTGCAGCGGGAGGGAGCCGGAGCGTGCGGACCGTCCCTGGGTATCGTGAAGGAGGTCGACCCCCTGCTCGCCCCCCGCCATGACAGCGCCCTCGCGGCTCCTGATCCGCGGGGGCCGTGTGGTCAACGACGACCTCTCGCAGGTGGCCGACGTGCTGGTGGAGGACGGCGTGGTGCGGGCGCTCGGCCGCGACCTGCTGCCGCCCGGGGCGGCGCCCGCCGGGCTGCGGGTCCTGGACGCGGCCGGCAAGCTCGTCCTGCCCGGCGGCATCGACACGCACACTCACATGCAGTTCCCCTTCATGGGCACGAGGTCCGTGGACGACTTCTACCAGGGCACCAAGGTACCCACCCCGCCCTCCCTCACCCGGACGCCCGGCGGAGCCCTCCGGCCGCCTGTCCGGCCGCCCCGGGGTGCAGAGCAGAGCCACCCCGCACCTGCACAGCGGCCACCGAGCTGGTGCAGAGCGGGGGCCCAGGTTCTCCACGCGGAGCTCCCTCTTTTAGGGTCCGCTTCTCGGTGGTGTCAGCCCACCTGGCTACACAAGGTCGAGGCAATGGATTCCCTTGCCCTCGTTTCTCTACGCCTTTACCCTCCTGACCCCCGTGTTCACTGGTGTTCCACGGCAATCCACAAGCCTTCTGTGAGGTGGTCAGCTGGCACTCCCAGACACTCCCCCTCATCCTCGGTTTCCTGTCGGAACCAAACGAAAAATACCTTCACCTAGTAGTTCCTGCCTTGACTCAGGTTAGCAGTGCGGGGCAGGTGGTGATTAGTGGGGTGGGCTGGCACGGGCGTGTCCACCCTATTTGCCTCCACTCTCTAGTAGAAAAATTATAGCGGTGGCAAGTGTTTCTGAGAGAAATACTCCAGATACGACCCCCCAGCATCCAGGCGGCCTGGTCCCATCTCTTCTCTGTCTTGCTCTTCACCCCTTCCTGCCCTTAAATACAGCCTCAGAGTCCCACTGCTTAGGCACCTGCAGCTCTACTGATGAGATGGGAGGGTCAGATCACCCATCTCCTGTGAGAGAGCTTGGGTTTCTCTAGACAGAAGAGCCTAGACTTGCAGGGGTGTCCAGCACATGGCCTGCCGGCCGCACGCAGCTCAGGATGGCTATGAACGCAGCTCAACACAAAATTGTGAATTTACTTAAAACATTATGAGATCTGTGGGTGTGTGTGATTACATGCTGCCATGTATTTAACGTGTGGCCCGAGACAACTTTTCTTCTTCCAGTGTGGCTCAGAGATGCCAAAAGGTGGGACACCCCTGGAGAGGCTCAGGTGAATGGAAGAACCTTCAACCAAGGCTCCTGTGAGCAGGGGTAGGAGATGAGTAGGGCAGCCTTACTGGAACGTGTATTTAAAACTCCACTTAGCACTTCCCCTAAAGTGAAGCCCTCACCCTCCTTGAGGCTGGCATTCTGGGCTGTGGTGAGGGAACTGAAAGTGCTGATACCCATAAGGCCTGAGCTCTTCACTCAAGGATGTGCTTGAGGCTTCCCCAAACCTCATGTGTGAAACGCACACAGCTGCTTATTCCAAGTATGGGCAGAGCAGGCTCTCAAAGCAGTTCTGACCATCGTTTGTTTACCCTGATGGTTTCTAACAGTTTTACTCTCCTTATATCTCCCTCTTCCACTTCTCTAAACATCTATGATTGACCAGGATATTAAAAAAAAAGAGAGAGAGAATGATTTGCCCCAGAGAAAGGGGTCCGGGGCAGGCTGCTCACACCAGGCTTTGGAAGTCTTCCTCCCCCAGTTACTAATTGCCAACCTTCTCCCTCGGGGCAACGGTCAAAGTCTTTCTACGACAGACCGTTATTTATTTTGAAAATGGAATGTTCATTTTTCCCTTTTGCCAAAATTGAAATTTGCTGAATCTTAATCAACATATTTTTAAATCGTATGTGAAATGTTCAGACATCAAAGCAATGCAATTATTAAAAACTGGAAAAATAACAGGAAAGTAGAAAGAAGAATAATGTTGTGTAGTCTCCCACATGACAACCGACATTGTAGCATGTGGCCTTTATGCTTTTTAATATGCTTTATTTTATGTAACTGAGACTCTACTGTGTGCGTGTATATACCTGTATACAAACTTTTGTAAGCTGTTTTCAGTTGTAGCACAGGCACTTTCTGTTGTCATGACTCATAATTAACAAAGTGGTTTGTTGAGGGCAAAGTATTTCATGGACACCCCCTGCCGTTTGCCAGGTGGGAGCCCTGTGGGCTGGCCAGGCCCACTAGCCTCGTTTCCCCTCATCGTTTCCCTTTCTCTCCTCAGGATTCCAGAGAAAGAAGCCATGCAGAGGGGGTGGGATCCCTTTCTCAAGATTATCTATGTGTGCCCCAAGGTCCTAGGAGGTGATTCTTAGTCTCCGTCTGCTCCTTGGCCACTCTGGCATTCGCAGCACAGACAGATTCCCAGTTCCATCCTGAGAAGGCAGGTCATTGGAACACGCTATATGGTCTGTTGCCAACATCTGGGAGAACTTAGGGTCAGCTGATTCTCCAGACATGTGCATACTTAAAGGTCGTCAGAGCATTCAACAAAAACATGTTCATCACAAGTTTAGGATCTTAAGCAGAAAACAAGGTAGTCAGTGTTAAGGTCAATGACATAGCGTATACTGAATTCATGTTAAATTTTAAACTGTACTTACAAATGGGCTAAGCGACAGAGGTCCCCTCTAAAAGTGGTGGGTTGGGTCCCAGGAGATAATCAATCCCACCCCTAGGAACAGCTGAGGCCCCCTCAGAGGGAACCAGATGGGTAGCTAGAGGCAAACAGGAGCATGGAATATCGGCCCGTGCTCTGAAGGGAGGGCATGATGGAGTTATTTTGTCCTCCTTTCTAGAGTTCTCACAGTAGTTCCCGGGCAGTGTTGCTGGGGTTTCTGATTTGGGGAAATGGGGACAAATGAGTCTTTTGCAAATGCTGGTTTTATTCTATATACTAAACTTGAAAACATCTTATTAATACTGTTAAGTAACATTTATTTTATGAAGCACTTACTCTGTACCAGGCACTGTGGCAAGCTGTGCATTTTCTTGCAACAATCCCAGGGACCATTACTTAGTTTTTACAGCTGAGGAAACTGAAACTTAAGTCACTTGGCCTTTCACATTCAGGTCTGCCTGCCGTCACTAGAGGTCTTCCCTGCCAGCCTCTCTTCCTTTCCAGTATGCCCATGGAAATATATCTGGTGTTTGGATTTATCAAGTAGCAAATGATGGATGAAACCCTGTACAAGTTATGTGCTAACGTAACATGGCTTTTCTCACAAACAGAACAAAGTCATTTTTAAGAAATACAGTAGCCCTTCACCTTCCCAGTGTGAAGGCAGTTGAGGTTATCGAAATGGACGTTGCAGGGATTAGGTTTGTGTGGCATTGCTACGTGCATGTATAGCCACATCATCTCTAAGGCACAGAGATGGGCCCCTTAAATACAGAGAGCGATAAGATAAAAATGTTATTTCATGCTGTTGATATAAGAAGCATCCAGATCTATAGAATATTTTTACAAGAGTTTATTTGAGCCAAACTGATGACAATTGCCAGGAAGCAAGATCTCAAATACTTCAGAGGATGACAGTTTTGCAATTTCTCTTATGCATTTCAGATTGAGGAAGGAACATGAAGAAGATTACATGAAGGTGGGAGAAAGCAAGGCAGGGGTTGGATTGCAGAACAGTTAACAATTCTACTTGCTTTCTTGGGGATGGTTATACTTATTTCAAAGGTGTGTTAACCTACTGCACGAAAACAATGCACAGGGCTTGCTTAAGGTAAAGAAAAACCTTTAACTAAGGAAGTTATATACCTGGGGTGTGACGACCTACCATGACCTGCCCATTTAGGAATTTATGATCAGATCACCCTGTGAGGTGACTTTCCATAGAACCCCCTTTTTTGTTCACAATCCCCTCTCGTGGTAATAAACCTATCGTAAGGATGTATTGGTAACCAATCTTTGGGTTGGATAGTACGGCCTCCCAGCTTTAGGAAGGCTCCCACCTAGGAAGTCGCAACTGAGTTGTCCTGTTGAAAAGGTGGACCATTGGGGATGGGTAATACCATAACCATGAGAGGTGAGTTCAGGCCAAGTTTTTTTTAAAAAGGGAAAGGACAGGTAAATGGAAGGTAGTCGTGTCTTATGGCCTTCATTGCAAAAACACTGCAGGCTATTTCCACACTGTGAACTATCATGAGTCAAGTTCTGCCTTCTGTCTCATTTTTTTCTGCAGTTTGCATCTAGTATAACATTTACATAAGCCATAAAAAGAATATTAACAGTTATCTTATATGTGTTCAGTAATCACAAACAGTGAGACTGTATGGAAAATCCCAACAAACAAGTACAACTATTATTATGACTCGTATCATTAGTAGAAAGGTAAAAACAAACCATTGGTTTCTGAGTTTAAGTATCAGTCGAAAGGTCCACAGTCTTTGTCCAAGTCTTGGGAGAGCTGTCCACCTCTGAGGTCAGCAGCGTCTCATCCTAGCGGAGTCTTTGATGTCCATTGTAGGCGGAGGCCAGCATCAGAGAGAGGGGTAGACGTCTATTCCTGGTTAGGCACCTGATGAGGTTCCTCCCATCGAGGGTGGGGAGTGTCTTTTAAATGCAAAAAAATCTCCAGGTGACAGTCAGTAACCTTTAAAGGCTTTGTCTCCTGGGAGTCAGCTGTGAAAGAAAGCAGTTACCAGTTTGGCTTTTCCTTGAAGTGACTTTATCAAACCTTGGCAATAGGGTACAATGTCTCCTTCCTATAGTGTCAGCTCATGCTTCCTTCATCTAATTTAAGTCCTGCTTAAATGCATTATGATGCATGAGGGAATGCAAAACGAAAAAAAAAAGGGCATTGCCAGGAGCAGAGCAAAACCAAGCTGCCCCAGGGGTGCCTCATAGCCCTGACCATTATTTAATGTACAACCATGAAGTTTCTCATCACTTATTTTACAATGCTCCCCGTGTAATTCAACATAAAAAGCAAATCTTTTGAGGGGTCCCAGGGGTTTCTGTGGAACACTGTAAAGTAATTCTTACATATTTTGATATTTTAACCCTTAAAATCCTCAATATCTAGTGAAAACTAAAAAGCATGCAGTTAACATTCTGTAGGCTGGCAGATTTATGGAGGTATTGTGTAACCTCCGGAAACACAGGCTCTTTCAGTCACAAATACATTATGTAAGCCCAAATGTTCAGCAGTTAATGATTATTTTTGTAAGCCCAAGTAAAATAAAAACATGTCTGTGTTGTATAAACCAACACACTTAAACTAGCTTTTACTCACTAAAGATTGATCTTAGATCACAGGAACTTG